ATCAGAGAATCCAGAGAGAATGGAGAGAACACAGGACATTTAGCTGGAAGCTCATTAAAAAAAAAAAAAAAAAAAAAAAAAAAAAAAAGGATGCTGAGGGTTGCCGAAACTCCAAGGAGTACTAACACAAAGGGCGTGATACCATCACAGCTTTGTTTTTCTCCCTCTGCAGTGCCAGGCAGTGAAAGAGAAGTAGCAAAAACCAACATCACAGCCATACTTATATTTTATTTCCCTCTCTCCATCTGGCGCCTTTTAAACAACTTAGCGTGCTTCTCAAATGGGTTCTGCATTGTCTTACGACTCATTAGCATTTAAAACCTCCGGTTGGCACCCCAAACACAATTCTGCCCGCGTCCCACATTCAGCGCCACCTTCCCAAGTATTTGGGCAGGAACCAGGAGTCACCTGGGATGTGTTTTGTGTTCCTGGAGGATTTTTATCGCTTCTTGCAGTTTTCTTCTCGGGAAAGAGGCTTCCCAGGACCCAAAGTCCATAGAGTTCTCAAAATAAAGCCCTGCCCTCTGCAGCGGCCGGTTCATTCCCGTCCCCACCCCACAACGAGGCGGCCTGTGATGTATACACACAGCGGCTCTCTTAGTCACTTTCCCTCCGGCTGCTAAGAAAACATTCCATTGTAATCTCACTAATGGCTGTTTTCCCTCCAATATTGTAATTTTCGGAGCCCCCCTTAATAAGCCATCAATAGTTTTGTCCGTTTCCCCCCCCCGGTTTGTGTTTCTCTTTGTGGCGGTTCCTAATTGTGGGCTATTATGACAACAGGGTTTTTGAACAATGGTAGCTCATGAAATCCTAGCTTCCCACTTGAACCAGCCGCCTCCACCATGCCAGTCGCACATCGCATGGGGCTGTTCTGGGTAACGCGTGCATTTGTCCTGAAGTTTGAAGTTTAACGGTCTGCCTCTCATCTGCGCGGGCAACATGCCTTTACAAATACATAGCAGCCTGTGTGCTCCCCAATTTGAATACTGAATGAGAGTAAAATATAATTAATGTAAGTCTGAAACAGAGATATTACGCTATGTTGGCACAATGCATCCACATAAAGGGGAAAGAACAGGTGGTAATACACCATAATAACACTTCTGGATATTTTGCTTGAAATTCTCTGGATGCTCAAATGTGCATCCTACGAGGGCATATTCGCTTCGCTGGCAATTCCTGCAAACTGTCAGGGAAGGACTGCCAGGTAGCAGCAGAGCCGTGGCCCGTCGGTGCATACGCATATGCTCCCCGTGGTAAGCACCGTGCCCGATTCTACCTATCGGGCCCTCTTTCTTCTTGTCCCTGGGGTGGGCCTGCATTCTATGTGTGTCACAAACCACAGTTTTTTTAACCACTGGACTTTGATGGTGGAATTGCTTTATAATACCCATTGAGTGATATAGGGTTAACTATTATTTAATTTCATCCCTTACTTATAAAACAAAGTCTCCAAAAAACACTCAACTGTTTCCACTAAGAGAGAACCCAAAGTTACTTATTAGGTTTGAAATAAAATTCAGAAGAGAAAGAGGAAAACGTTTTGTCATCGTATGTCAAAGCCTTAAATGATCATTGTGACCACATCTCTATTAGAAAGTTTTAGCTCCAAGTTTGAAAGGCAGAATGGGGCAATGGGAGTAATTTCCCTTTTAAACGTGACAGTCAAAAATAGTGACTCATATTCGTTGGGTCTGTAATTACCTTATATCAGCCATTTTCAAAGGATGGGCTGTAGAATTTTAGAACATGCGATACCTATTTAGTCAGGGGCACTGACCACTTTCCTTTAGACTGTCAAATTTCAAAAGTGTCAACAACCAATATAACAATAGCCATCCAGTGTGAGTGAATCGAAATTATACCTTTTTTTTTTTGTCAGATTGTGCCACAGAATTCTAGTGATTAGTTTATGTGCACCGTGAGATGAAAAAAAAGTTGAAAATAGCTTGATGAGATATGATGAGATAAAAAGACAGTGAAATGGCTCTGGCCTGTGTTGCTCAGTGGTTGAGCCGACCTATGAACCAGGAGGTACCAGTTCCATTCCCAATCAGGGCCCATACCCGGATTGTGGGCTTGATTCGCAGTGTGGGGTGTGAAGGAGGCAGCTAGTCAATGATTCTCATCATTAATGTTTCTATTTCTCTCTCCCTCTCCCTTCCTCTCTGAAATCAATAAAAATTATATTAAAAAAAGAAAGTGAAATGCTATCTTAATGTTCCCCTCTTGCTATAATAAAAATAAAAGGCCCCCTTGTAATAGAATTAGTGGTTAAACCCTACATATTTATATTTGCTGCCTTGAGGAATTACCTAACTCCCACAATAAGAATATGAATCCTTAAATGTCTAACCATTATGCTGTACACCTGAAACTAACATAATATCAAATGTCAACTGTAATTGAAAAATAAAAAAAAGAACATTCTTCTTTTCCACCAGAAATGTGGCTGCAAGTATTGACTTTTTATATCGCTAATGTGAAGGACCAATCATGGGTTAGGAAAGGCTTTTATAAACCTCTGCCTTTTAAAACTACTGGTCTTAAAACCACATGACCTCTTCTAGTGAGGCTGGGGGAGAGGGGGAAGAGAATAATTAGAAAAAGTTACCTGGGGTCAGAAAGATGGATAAGGAAGGGTCAGATGGCCAGTAGTATAGGCAATTGGTTTCTTGAAATACCACTTTGACAAAGTAGAAGCTAAGGGAGCACAGAGGAGGTTGGAAATAGCACTGGGTCAGGGGTGGGGGAGAGGGGTTGAGTCAGGGGCTATCAAAGTAGAGAGAGGCATGTCCTTGAGTGTGGCATCCTGGGAGGAGCAGGAAGAGATTTGGATTACAAAAGCCAGAGCAAAGGAGCGGCTTTGGGACCGCTGGTCCCTGTGCACTGTTTCTCATTTAGTGACATACTGCTGGGTGGAGGAATGAAGTCCCTGCACAGTTTTACGGTGAATGGCCAGCATCAGTTAGGAGCCACACCTCCGCTTTGGGACTTTGAGAGACATTGATCTGAGTTAGAATAGAAACGAGTTCTAAAATCCTGAACCAAGTCTATTAGGTTTTTGACAGAATCACAAACACAATGTCAACTGTTCTCTGATTAGGGAAATGGGTATTTTCTGTGCCCACAGAGAAGGCATGAGGAGTGTGTGTCCTATCCTGATGGCACAGTGCTCCACATGAGAGGCCCAGGAAGCCATGCCCTGCTGCTGCCAATCTTGGACAGGGCATAAGGAAATGCAGAGAGTTTCTATAGTAAAAGACAGCTTTGGCTTAGCGCAAAAGGAGGTTGGAGAGGCGTGGGGAGGTGGGTTCTATATTTCCTTAGCACCTGATTTTGTCATTACAACTGTAATTGATTTTAGAGTTTGTTAGACAAGAAACGGTATATTGAGTGATAGGTTCTAGTCATAGGAATTCTATGTACCAACCATATAATCTTAGACAAATCATTCAACAGAATAGGGACCCTGTCTCGCTCTCTGCTATATGTCCAGTGTCTAGGACAGTAGCTGGGGCACATAGTAAATACCCAACAAATATTTGTCGAAAGAATAAGTGAATGAATTTAACTATCTAGCCCTATTTCATAATCTGCAAAATTTGGGTTAAAGTATCTACAAGTATTGAGCAGAACAAATGGCATAAATCATGTGATAACATTCTTGTTAAGTATAAAACACTAAATACAGCACAAATGTTGATATGTGTTTACAATATAAAGGCACTTCTGGATGTACATAGGTTTGAGATTTTCTGTTTTTTACATATTTTCTTGGACCTGATGAAGAAAGGTAAATGCCTCTGTAAAGAATCAAATATGGACCTGGTTGGTTTGGCTCAGTGGATAGAGCGTCAGCCTGCGGACTCAAGGGTCCCAGGTTTGATTCCAGTCAAGGGCATCTACCTTGGTTGCAGGCACACATACAGTAGGGAGTGTGCAGGAGGCAGCTGATCAATGTTTCTCTCTCTCTCATCAATGTTTCTAACTCTCTATCCCTCTCCCTTTCTCTCTGTAAAAAAATCAATAAAAAATCAATATATATATATTGATTGATATATATATCAATATATATGATTATATATATAAATCAATAAATATATGATTATATATATAATAAAATATGGAACAAACACATCATTAATGCAACTCACTATTCTGAAACATCTAAAGCTGTATCCACAGAATTGTTTCAAAAACTATAATTTGATGATAATGCTTATCTAACTTTTTCTTTGTGACAATTAAATTCTAGATGTTAACAATGGTAATCTAGTCTCTGGTTTAGAATTGTGAGATCAATGCTGCTTGAGGTGGGCTAGATCTATGTACTGGACACTTGCTCTCCCTCCTTGGTTCCCATCTTCCTTAAGTCCTTCTGGGCTGAGAGCAAAGTTGTCTCATGTGGCCTCCCTAAGTATGGCCCTCAGTCACATCACGGCAATCTGCGAGAGAAGAAAATAGGCAGGCATCTGGGCCCATTTAACGCAGCATAGAAATATGGTGTATGTGGTATTTAATAACATTCCCTGGTAGTCTTTAGGGAATCGCCAGGGGTAGAAACCCTTAAATTTGAGGTTCACTTAGCAAAGAGCAAAGAGGGTTTTGATGACCAAAGGGTAAATAGTTAAGTGCTGAAGAGAGGTGTGGACAGTTTGGAAAATACTTTTAGTACTTTTTTAGTCTTTATGATCACACTGGCAGTATGAAGGAGTGAGGTAATTCTGGCTGGGATATATAAAAGTCCTTCCAAAAGCAACTGCACTGTGTAAACTTTGAAACAAAGACTAACATGCTATTTATAAAGGGGCAATAAAGGAGCGTAAAATTCTGTGAAAGAAAAAGACTTCTGGAATCTGGTTCTGATGGGGCCCGCTCTGCTCAGCCTCAGTTCTAGTAGCCAAAGTACTCACCAGCGCCCTCAGAAGCCATTTCTTTGGGGGTGCATACACTTTCTCAAGTCGTGGTGATTCCCACTCCAGCTTGCTTCTTACCTGTTTTTGCTCTTCTCCTAAACCATCCCACATTGAAGCCACAATTTTAGAGACTTCGCCGAAGGTCGCATTTGGATTTTGGCCCTTGATGGCAGCCTGGGTGTCACGAAAGAACAATGCATAGGCAGACACTGGCTTCTGGGGCTCATTCGGGTCCTTCTTCTTCTTCTTTTTGGGGGTTTTTGGCTTTTTCCCCATGTCAGAGGCAGGCCGCTTCTCTCCGCCATTGATCTGAAATAAAATGGAAATTACAGAAGAACTGAGAAAGTTTGGAGACAAATCATACTGTTGTTCTGCTTTGAGACTTACACAGACACAGTCATCTGTACACATCACAAAAACACAGACCTTCCAAAGGGACACTACATTTGGTTGTCATTGCTGTGTTTCAGATAAAACTTCATATTTCCTGTAGTTTTCATGTTCATCTCTCTGCTGCCTAATTTATATAGCTTTCATATAATGTTATTAATTCTTTTTATACTATCATATTGTTAAATATTACCCCTTAACTCTCTCAAGTTGTTCCCTTTCTTATTCAGGAAGCTTAATGCTAAGTTGCATTGTAACTGTGACAGGTGCGAATTCCTTTTATAGAACCCCTACTGGCTAAACAGTCTAACTTGTTTTCTTTTGAGTTTACCCTTTTCTTCCTAATTATGACTTTTAAACTATGGTGGGCAACATGTCCAGTGATTAAAACTGAATGGCTTTTGATGTTGCACTTGGGTCTGTAAGAGTGGATGCTCATGGTTTAGAGAATGGCATAATCTGGACTGTAGGTCAGTGATGTCCAGCGGAACTTTAAGCAAAGAAGGTAAACTTCTATAATCCGCACAATTCAGTGTGGTAGCCACTAGCCACATGTAACAAATGAGAATGTGAAGTAGAAGCTAACATGAACAGGACAAAATTTTGTATTTTATTTTATTTTAATGACTTTAAATTTAAATAGCTACACGTGGATAGTGGCTACCATGTTGGCCAGTACATCTAGAATCAAATATTTCTAGAATAGCTTTATACTCACTTTAAAAATAGGTTCTATTTTTCTCCCATCGTATGAATATTCAGATAATTTAAATTGTTATTCTGATGCAAGTGGAAAAAACACACAATGCATTTAAGACATAGGCATTTGAATATTAACTTTGATCTGAACTAATGATATGTAATGCCACTTTATCCATCTCTGAGAAGGAACAAATTTGGCTAGGATTTCTTTCTAGCTCTAAAATGATATGAATCTACACGATTATCAAGTAGATTCTGCAGGAATCCTCTTTTTAAGTGCCTCCCCCACCCACATAAAGGTCCGTGAACACTACTTCCTGATGGAGCTGCCACTATCATGGGAGATTCTACACCCTCATCTCCTATTGTTATTGCTGTTGCTTTTTCTTCTCTGTAAGTGTAATGTAATATATAGTTTACTCAGATAAATTGCTGGCGGGGTAATTTGTGTCCAATAACTGCCATCGCTGAAGAGGAACCAGGACATCCTGAGAGGCCGGTGGGTACCACGTCAGAGAATTTGCACTCATGCCCTTATTTGCTAGTTTTAGCTGTGCAACCTTGGGCAAATTACATAAATTCCATGGGCCTCTATTTCTTCTGCAAAACAGTTGCAGCATCATTTTGTGAGATGGTATATATGATACTATATGATCTCTAAAACTTTAAAATGACATTCAAATGATAATTATGAGATACTAGATACTTCAAAAACATTCACTGAATGAATGGACAGGAATGACTTTAATACTAATTTGTGATGCCATATGACCACAGTTAAAAGATATGTCTAAGAACCAAAAACAAAATAGGATAAAAACTAAGTGAATTCATTTTCTTTGTCTTTAGTGAGAGAGATATTTAAAAGATGACCATTTTTTAAGTTGTCTACTGAAGCAGATCAACATCCCCATGGATACAGGATGCTCTGAACTGAGCTGACTAGAAGATAACATCCCTAGGATGGAGCTAAGAGGTGAGCCTGTGAAATGGTCGGTCCCATGTAAATCTGTCAGAAGACTGGCCTGTTGAGACTGAGTTGATGCTGGGAAAACTAGTGTAATAGCTATAAGCTAAACATACAGGCAATTATGACCTGTAACAGTAATCTCAAATACAGCTTCACAGTGGCATCATCTGGGAAACTTTTAAGTAATATCCTGATACCCAGGCTCTCTTTGCATTGATTAAATCAGAATGCCTAGGAGTAAGTGACACCTCAATGATACCCTTAAATCTACTTCTCCAACTGGCATTTAAGTACTTAGGAGACAAACCAAACAAGCAAACTTTCCCTTTGCCTCAAGGCTACATATTGGCCTATCCTTCTTGTCTTCACAACCAGCTCCTCCAGGTGGTTGTCTGTCCTGGCCTAATGCAGCCTGTGCGACTCACTTAATGTGCCTTACCATCCCTAAGCTCTCAACAAGGTCACCATGGGCCACATTGCTAAATCCAATGGACTTTTTGACTTGATTTCTCACTGTGACCACTTTCTCTTCCAAAGGTTTCATTTCCCAACATAGAACATATCAAACTTGTAATTATACAACACCCTATGTATTTAGATCTTCTCCTGTTCCACATATAAGCACCGGGAAGGTAGGCCCTCAACTGGTTTTGCTCACTAGCACTTAATGTTTCCTGACAGTAAGTGTTTTGCATGTGTTATGACTGTAATTAAAATAATAACAAAATAATAATACAATTCAAAGAATAAATGAGTCAAAGCATCAATGGTTTCTGTTATAGAAACTTAAACCTCACTAATTTATTTGAGTACTTGATGACAATATGTGGGAAGACAGAAAACATGGAGAGATTTTTTTTAAAAGCATTTGACATGTTAATAGTAATTTCTCTGGGTTATAAGGCTGAGTATTTATAAATTTCTTTTATTTATTTATTTTTAAAAATATATTTTATTGATTTTTTTTTTTTACAGAGAGGAAGGGAGAGAGATAGAGAGCTAGAAACGTCGATGAGAGAGAAACATCGACCAACTGCCTCTTGCACACCCCTACTGGGGATGTGCCCATAACCCAGGTACATGCCCTTGACCAGAATCGAACCTGGGACCTTTCAGTCCGCAGACCGACGCTCTACACTGAGCCAAACCAGTTTCGGCTATAAATTTCTTTTATTATATTTTTTATAATTTCCAAATTTTGTAGACAATGGAGGAGAAAAGCTATTAAATATTTTATTATTGAGAATATAAGAATCTATATTGAGAATATAGGATCTATATTTAATAAATTATTTATTAAAAAGAAAAAGAAAAAGAAGTCAAGAAAGTCTACAATAAAGTAAATTAAAAATGGAGTGATTATGATATTGGAGGTCATATTTCATAAAGGCATGGAAATATTTATAAATAGGAAACAAAGTGTAGAGAAATGAATCTTTATCTATATGGAATATTACCTGGACTCATTTAAAAAATTTTAAATTTATATTTATTGTTGAAAATATTATAGATGTCTCCTTTTTCATACCTCTTGACTTCTACCTCTCCTCTTTCCCTCTCTAGGCCTTCATCATTTTAAGTTTTAACTAAAAAAATTAATGATTGAACACATTGAAATCTCCATTATTGCAGATAATAGTATATTAATGAGTTTTGAAAAATAATCAAAAGTCAATCATAGAGATACATTTCCTATGATTCAATACAGTTGTTCTTATTAAAACATTTCCCTGAATTACTTAATAATTTTTCACCTCCACTGTCTAAAATTGTGTTTGAACTCCATGTCTCTTTCCTTTTGAAACTGGTATTAGGACAGTATGGTGTAAGTTTTAGTTCTACTGGCTGTAATGCCCCTCAGTAACAGAAAGGACATATTTGACAACATGGGCCTACTTTCTAGAGATGATCTGAGGAAGAAGGAGAACGTGTTACTGTCAGTAAGAAGCTCTAAGTATCAAGTGTATGAAAACAACAAATTACCCTTTGTGTAGCAATGTGTAGCAACTCTGTAGGGAACTCTAAACAATTCCATGCAACCAATTGATTTGGTTCATTGTCTGGAGCCTTTCCCTATGTTTCTGGCTTGTGTAGGGTTAGTCAGATCAGCCTTGCTCAACCTGAGAGTTTCATTTACTAGAAACAAGCATTTCATGACTCAGCCTCCACATTTTCAAGGCTCAGGAGATGCCATGTTTGTGTTATGAAGCATCAGCCTGGAGCTTCAACGATATCTCTGATTGAATACTGGAGAGGCACCAAGCTCTGAAGCTGGGGTGTCATCCCCATTGCGGCCAGACTGCCAGCCAGTCACAACATTACATCACTTTGTTCTCTGCCATGCCTGAAAGCAAGAGCCTATACATATACCTTTCTTTTAAATACTCATGTGAAACTCAGTCTGAATTATCTGCCATCGAAGAAAACTGACATCTAAGAGGACCAACATAAAGAACACACATAAAATATTCATTTCTCAAGATTCACTGCCTTTCTTTCCTAATTAAACTAGATCACTAAAACTGCATTCTTACATTGTAACATTCTGACCATTTACAGAATTTCCCTTATAGGAATGAACTATGATCTAAGATAATACCTTGGCTTTCATCAAAGGCTGATGTAAGAAGAAAACAAACAAACAAACAAAAAAACAGAAACACAGAACTATGTATGAAATATTTCTATAAAAAAATAAAATGTCTTTGAAAGGAGTTATTTATTTTATCGCTCAATGTTCTTTGTATTAAGACTTACTGGGTTTGCTACTAGCTTTGCTTTCACGTTAGGATGCACTATAACGGAATGAGAACTCCCTGGTTGGTGTCTAACGTATTCAAATGCGCAGGCAGTGCTATGAACAGTAAGGCTGTCTACCTCTTGACCACTGGGCATTACCTTCTGACCTGTGGGGGTCTTGTTTTTATTTTCTTTTGTTTGGGAGGATACAGGAGTGGTATTTTAGGTCCTGTACAATGAATGTGTAAGGTCTACTTTTCTGGAGGTAGTTTCATCACATATTTGAAAAACACATGGTCATTGTTCATATGCAAAGCCTCCCTCACAAAAGAAATGTAGCTGTTATTTGGTTGCATAATGAAAGATATCAAGCTTTTTTTTTTTTTTTTTTTTTTTTTTTACCACTATTTGAAATGAACACAAGGATGATGCATATGATTGTGGGGGAGAAATTAGCTAAATGGATTTGTACTATGTCTCTGGACCTTAATTTTAAGTATTTTTTTTT